AGAGGCAACAACTACCGCCACAACAACAACAACAACAGCGCTATTAATGAATGATGAACATAAAAACTGACTGGAATTGTGGCGAAGCGCCGGCAGGTTTGTGGAGGCATTTTCATTGCTGCTGTGTTGCGGTTTGGTTAGTGTTACTTGTTTTCGTCTGCTGCTTTTCTCCTCTCGCTGCAGCAGCGTGGCACGCGGTCTCTCTCGCTCTCTTTCGCTCTCAATGCATGACTGCGCACTGGAAGATTCGATGTGGCGAAAGAGAATGCAACAGTTGGAGCTCTTGGGAACGATGTGGAAGAATGAATGCCAGAGCGCGCGATTGTGGAAAGAGAGCAGCGAAAAGAGCGCAGAGAGCTAAGCATAAGAAGAAGAATGTCTGGTCGAGCATGTATGCGCTTTGAATGTGAGGCATTTTGATTCAGCTCTAAGTTTTGCATTGACTGTTAGGTTCTCACAAACGAAAAGGCGGAATACTAGAACATGACATTCTTTGCTTTCTTTCGGCGTTGGAAGAGAAAGGAAATGACTTGTACAAAAGAAAACCTGTCTCACTGGAATGTCTTTTGTAAACAATTTAATGGTTTTCTATTTGCTTTTATTTGGTATATAAAGCCGATTTTAAGATTACTATTTTACGGTTAACAAATTTATAAAATGTTTTTTATGCTTTATTGAAATGCATATGTATGCTTACGTATAAATTCAACGGAATTCATTAAACTAGAGTAAATATTACTATCTATCTATTCTTTACTTTCTAAATCATTTTAATAATATTATATGATTATATTATATGCTTACAACTTTTTATATTAATGATATGTTTCATAAATAAAGACTACGTTGAAAATACAAAATTTGTATCTTTATCTAATAAGTAAGAGTTTTTAATTCAAAGCTTAAGTTATTAATATTATTAATTTTATATTGTATTTTTAATGTATAACAATAAAATCTGATATATTATATTTACGAACTAAATATATATATTAAAATATTTAATTATTTTTTGTTCCTTATATATGAATTTAATGCTTTCCAAATCAATTTTTCGGCTATTATTGAGCATCTGTTAACTATAAAATCTGTCAATGCGACAAAATTGATTTGATTTGCTTTGAGTCAAATATTCAATTGATGTTGGTTTTCTATATTGAGCAAATATTGAAACTTATATGCAAATAGCGATACTGATCTCTGCTTTTAGAGACTCGTTATTCCAATTGTTACAAAAATATAACGAAATATTAATATTCGTAAACAGATAACTAAAGTATTAAAACTCTTACCTCACCACATTAGAATTTAAAGAATGTTTTGATTTGTCAGTGAAATATTGTAAGGCCTACTCGTATTCTTAGATCTCCCCCTCTCTCTCTCACTCTTTCTCTCGCTATCTCTCTCTTTCAATAATCCCCTTCTATATATATTACAAATATTTATTATTAATTTTGAAAATATTAATAGCTCACTCATAGCTATAAGGGGTCAATTTGTTAAATAAAAAATAAAAATCACTATATATATCATTAAATCTATGTATATAAATAGCTTGTTTTCGTCGTAGATTTGTTATTTATATTTTCGCATATCGGCGATGGTTTCCTTAATGAAATCCCGATAGTAATAGACGCTCATGAAAACGTCGGGCATGACGCGATTGCCGCACTGCGCAGTCCACGTGCTGATGCCGCAGAGCTCGCCGTTGATGACCAGCGCTCCGCCGGAGTCGCCGTTGCAGAGGGTGCGGCCGTTGTAGTCGGCTGCACAGAGCACATTTTGGGGCATAGTGCGTTGCATCTTCTGGTTGCATTCCGCCTTGGCAATTAGAGGCACCTCCATGACGCGCAACGTGTCCTTGTAGTAGTCGCTTACGCCCCAGCCGGAGACGCTGGCCCGATCGCCGGATGACGGCTTCCGGGAACAGAGCGGCAGGTAGTTGACAGCGGGCTTTGTATAGGGTATGCTTAGGGAGGCTACGGCAATGTCGGCTATGAATTCAGTTTTCTTATACCTCGGGTGGATCTTCAGCTTGAGTATGGTATTTTTCGACTCCTCTGTTGGAAAGTACGTTGTTAGCTCCGTCTCGCCGGCGACTACGTGATATTTGGTGTAGTCCGCAGTGGCTGTGAAGCAGTGAGCCGCTGTCACAATATAACGTGAGCTGACCAACGTGCCGCCACATATCAGCTTATGCCGTAGGTAGATCTGTACGGCATAGCCCCCGAGTTTCTGGATAGATATTTCCCTACCTCCATATATTCTAGGGCTGATTACAGGCCTTTCTGGCAGCACAGCCTTAGCTTTAGCCAGACACAAGATAAATGAAGTAATAAAAGCTGTTAAACAAATCATTTTCAATTGTTCCGAGACTCAGAAGAAATACAGAAATATCCATTTAAGCTGCTTAGTTCTATGCAAAAATCGATTAGTTTCGCTTGCCATGTCTTAGCTTAATAAATTTGTTCTGCTTGCATTCATAATGTATTTATGAGTGAGTGTGCGTGAGTGTGTGAGGTCATATTCCCATCGACGTCTAGTCGCCAAGTTGAATCTGTATGATGCTATCTTTAGCAAAATGTTGGGGGGAGGGGGGGGGGGGGAATTCGAGTTAACTCTTTTCTTTTTTTGTTTCCTTGAGCATTTTCATTGGGGCTGTTGGACTTGTTAGCGAATCGCCGCACGTTTTGTTGCCAGTACATTTACAGTTATGTGCTCACACACACACGCACGCATGGATACAAGGATATCATATAAAGAGATGTAGATGTGCGTGCGCCTCTTGCCAAATTGTCGATTTTATTATTTGTGTTTATATGATTTTTCAGCTGTTCTGCATTTTAAAGTGCCCGCCAGCAGCAGCAGGATAGGCGTGAGAGAGCGAGCGAGATGGCGATAGATGGGGGGCCCGCATAGCCGTGGCCAACAGTGGGGGGCGTGCTTATAACATGCGCTGCGTGTCTTCTGCCTCATTTCTTATTATAATGTGAAAAATATCCTTTTACAAATTCAAAACGTTGAAGTGTGCGATTTCTTTTGTTGCCGCTTTTAACTGTCAGTGTGTTTGTGTGTATGCGTATGTGTGTGTGCGTATGTGTGTATGATACCCGCGTGTATTTATGCCTGGACAGTTGCAAAAGAGAAGCACGTTCTCAGTCAGCAGTGCACGAGCACGAAGCGGCTGTCCTACTTGCCGAGCTGATAATTCGAAATATTTATCATTTCGTATTGAAATATTTTGCGCATCATTTTGCTGTAATTTTCTACATGCTGCATTAGTGGCAGATGGCCATGCAATGCCTCATCTCTTCCACACAATCGATCTGCCAACTCATTGTTGTCGATTGCAGCTGTAACAATATCTCGAAGCACGCTCGGGCCAGGAGCAGGCGAATCTCTCAAACAGATCCAGTTTGAATAGTTACAAATAAGGCAAATGAAATGACTTGTCATGTGCCTTAGAGCCAAGGGGCTAAACGTTGTATAACAAAAGGAATTCAATTTTCAAAAGCGAAAGCGGAAGAGTTTAATTTTTTAAATTTAATTTATAAATATTTGATCAAAGAACATTCATTTTCTTTGCATAGGTTTTTATTTTATTTTTATTATTATTTTCTTTTTAATATCATAGATAGATTTAAATATATTCAGGCCATCGTATACTCCATCAAGGACATACATACACAAATATACATATATACAAATGTGTATTCAAATGTCGTGGTCGAGCTTTAATTGCATTGCATTGCAAACAAAATTTCTATTTGCGTTAACTTTTCAAATTTTGCAAAATTCATTTCGATTGCTTATTTTGCTGAAAATGAAAAATAAAAAATACAACAACAAAAATGCAGAGAAACATAAAATTGTTCAACTTTAGAAATGGCAAACGGCAATGGAAACTGGACGTGAGCTGCACTTGCTTTTATTAGTTTAGTTTTTGAAATTAAACGTATTTGCATGTCATATGCAATTTAGCACTTTTGCGAGTGTGTATGACAAATTCTTTTTTATATTACTCGCATATACCCTGTACACCACCGGGAACAATCGAGGTCAGATTTTTGGCCAGTTGGCCGACCTTGAGGGGCATTCGATGCAAATGACAAGTTGATTTATTAAGCTCTTTAATTGAATATATGAATTAAAAAGTAAATAAATAACTAAAAAGATTATTCGAATATAATTTCTTTATATGAACAACGATTTTACAAATAAGTTTAGAGATTTAAGTAGATGTATATATGTAGATCGAGATATGCAAATAAAGCCCACAAGATATACAAATTATGAATTTATATATGAAGTTTGAAATCTTTAGATAAGTATTCTTTAATGAATTAATTGTTTAATTTGCATTTACTAAACAAATATTCTAAAAAAGAGAATAAGTATTTTTCATAATAACAAAATATAAATTATAGTCATTATTTTAAAAAATTTTATATTTTGTAAACCAAATATAAATTTACAAAAAGCTAAAAGGTGCACCTCAAAATGAAACATTGAAAAAAAAAAAAAAAAAAAAAAAAAACAACTTTCATAACATTAAAATATTTAGAATAAATATATCAATGAAAAAGCCATAGCTATCCTCTGTATAAAAACAGTAAATTTGTAGCATAATATTTATATGATTGTTAAAAAAAGTTCAAGGCAAATAAATAAAATAAAAAAAACCAATAAATAATAATAATAATAAATTCGTAATAAATTGGAATTTATAGCAGTTATTATTTCTATTTTATTTAAAGCTATATTATATGAGTCAGATCAATTATATAAGTTAAGACATTCGACAATCTAAGGAGGCTGGAGAGTTCAGTCAGACATTCAAGGGGAGAACCTAACCAGTTGAACAGATTTAGTTCAGTTTATATTCGGACTAAAGAGAGTTTAGACCTATTGTTCCAAATTATATAAAATATATTATTTCATTGAACACAAAGTTGTTATATATTCACAAGAACCCAACACAGCGTCCCCCAATCACTAGTACTCTAGTATGGGAGCGCTTAACTTATATAATAATAATATATCATAAATCTCAGTTCATATTGTATATTTCACCTTAGGGTGTCTAGGTTGACTGGAACACTCACTAGTATGCATGTAATACGAGTATATTGTATGCTAAGTGACATTTACTCTATTCTGTATTTTATACACTGGTTAGTAAAAAGCATTAGACGCCCTCTGTCTGTTCGACTAGCCAAAAAAGTTCACATATCATACCATGATACCAATAACCTATACCCTATAGGTAACCTACATAACCTATAAAGAAATTGAATAGATCTGTCGACTATGTAATGAGCCTACTAATGGAATCATCGGTACAACAACTAAGCTGTTTTTTTTTTGCAGATAATGTAACGGTTATTATTTTTTTTAATGAAACTCACTGCGCATGTTGATAAAAACTTTTTAAAATGTGTGTATAAAATATAATATATAAATTCCCTTCATCAGAGCAGATATCTTCAAGGGTATTTCATTTGCTTAGACTTTTTGCCGCTTTTTGCATTTTAAAGTGTGAAATTTAATTGCTTGTTGGGGTTTTGTTTTCTTTTTTTAATTTTTTTTTTTTAAATATGTTAGCTTGGCGAATTTTCTGTTGGCGAATGTGTCAAAAATGTTTGTCGTCTACAAATTTGAAAATTGCATTCGAGCAGCAACAACAATAGCAGCAAAAACAACTGTAATAGTAACAGTAGCAACAACAGAGCCAACAAAAATATAAGGGAAAATGGAATACGAAATAAAATACACGCAATGCAGCAAAAGATTTATACGCGTGTGTGTGTTTTGTGCATGTGTGTGCGCGCTTAGCTACAATATTTTGCTTTTAAGCTTGGGATTCTAGAGTTTTATTGTCTTTCCGTGCATACAGAGTCGGTTCACCCCCTCACACACACACACACACTCACATACACACACACCCATTAGCAGCTAGGCAAGCAGCTGGCTACCCGATTGGCCCGAGTGTCCCGAGTGTCAACGGAAGCCGTCGCCATGTCGGTTAGTTGGCTGCCATCGAAATTCCGGATTTAACAGCAAAGTAACCAAAATGCAATTGTTTTGCAATTGGCATTTTGACCACATTCTGACACCCTGGCCATATGGCCGGCGAGTGTCAACAGCGGCGGCTGCAAATTGCCAAACACTATATACATTCATATACATATACATATGTGTGTGTGTGTGTGCGTATAGCACTGCACAATGCACACTTATGTATGTATGTATATGTATATGAGCGAAACGTACGTATACGTAATTTATTTAGCATTTCAAATGATTTCACTAGTGCCAACTATACTACAAAAAGTATTAGGCCAGAGAGAGAGAGAGAGAGAGTGTGGGAGAGAGAGAGGAGAGGTTTCGCACTCTGTCGATATATGCTGAAATGTGCTTAATTGAAAATGAATTTGGTTTTTGCAAAAATTGTTGTTGTTCTTGCTGTTGCTATAGCCAGTTGTTCTTTTTTTTCGTTTTCTTTTTCAGATTACTAATTCGGAATGTTTTGCGTTTTATCTGCATTTGACGCCAAGCTGGAAACCAAAGCAATGTTATCGCTATGTGGGCAGTGGGTGTGGCCTGATCGGGCTGGGCTGCTCCCTACACATTTGCATATTTGCATTTGCCATGGCCTGCAGCGCAGACAGGCCATGGGCTCTGTGTGTTATGCTACACCACAGCTGCGTTGATGTTTACTTAGTGTCGCTGAATCTGGACAGTACGGCATGGATTGGGGCTAAGGTGAATGAGAGGCATGCAGACACATACACAAACACACACACGCACACACACACACACACGCAAGCATAGTCAAATAAAAATACACATATTTGAATTCGACAACGAACGAATTGCCTTTGGTACAGCATCTGACACCGCCTCCTGCTGCAGCTCCTGCTACAGCTCCAACTCCGGCCGTGTCCGGTCTATGGCTCTGCATTTGATGAACGTACCAGCACAATGCAATTGGCCCCTGCATCTGCATCTGTATCTATAACTGTAACTGCGGATGCAGCTGCAGCTGCAGCTGTAGCTAAAGCTGCCCATGTATCCGTATCTCAATCTGAGTATGCATTTATTTCAAATGGAACAGTTAGATGGACACGGCTGTTGGCTTGAAACTGGGCCTCAATTTGCCGTCATGCATGCAAATTGCACTAATGAGTGTCACAAATTTTGCATAGACAAATGCCTGAACAGCTGCACACATATATATACATACACATATTCATATATATATATATATATATATATATATATATATATAGAAATTGATGACAGGCTTAAATTAAAGCTCCCTCTTAACTGAACGGCAGTCTGAATGTGGTGTCTGTGGTGCCAACAGAGAAGCAAAAACCACACGCCCAAACCTCCTGGCGAGAGCAAGGTTTTCACGCACGGTCACGTCTTTTACGTAACTGTGTCAGTTTTTTTTTTTTTTTTTTGTCGGTGCTGTTGTTGCAGCTGCTACGGCTGCAGCTCCTAATGCAGTTGCCATTTTTGCTCATTAAAGTAAATGCAGTTAATTAGAGCACAAAAAGAAACAAACGATGCTTTAGATATTAGGATATATGAAACTTACATTGACCGACTAGCAGATAGCCTGGACCGTGAATTTAATACATATCTTAGACTGAGATTTGTTTTTTATTTATAAAAATTTTTACTGTACAATTATGGGTTTCATTTCAGCAAGGAACTTTAAAGCCTCTTAAGGACTTGTTGATTATTAATTTATGGATATATGCTATAGAAAGGCGAATCGCTTCATACCTAAATCGATGGCTCCATATATGTATATGTATGTACAGACCAGGAGATGTAAAGCAGGACTTATCGGACAGAGCAACAAAGACGGAGGTTAGTAAATTCTACCGTTGACCATGCTCTAAAACACCTTTACACACTGTACCCTCCCCTCCTTATATACAGGGTACAAAACGAAAAAGCCTCACTTGTGAACAGTGAAGATGATTACGCTGTTGTTAATAACAAAACATGACCAAAACGAGGTCGGTATAAAAAAGGCAAACGTTTACTGTGGAATGCAGTGTTAATTAGTGCAAATAAATAAAAGGATAAGCGTAATGCGACAAATGCCCCAAAATAGTGCAACATTTTTGCTAAAAATGTTGCGCATTCCGTTGACTCACTAATTTCCTATCTTTTGCTCTCTCTCTCTTTCTCTCTCATTAGCCATAAGTGCGGCTAAAGAGATAAAGCAGCTCGTTTGATTGCAGCCATTAAAATTCATTAACATTAATGGCATGCAACGCGCCTGCCACACGCCTCAAACAATGTTGCAAGCAAATATCACAGCTGGACGCCAGCACGCTTGAAGCTTGTGGTAAGCTCATTTTTGTACTTTATAAATACTCGATTGAGAGTTGGGACTCTTTAATGCGTCTGAGATGTGAACAATTTTTCCGTCCTTTGATGTATCATAAAAATAAGTGAGACGTTTTGAAGAGCTCAAATCAAATTATTTTTCTTTATAGTCCTCCTGTGCATATCAGAAGGTTAGATTCTTTATATTATTTTCTAACTGTGTTGTTAAGCTACTATAATTGCATTGTACGGATTCAACGCTTAAATATATTAAAAAAAAAAAAAAAAAATTATCTTTATAATTTTACAATCAAATTCACCTTCAAAAACTCTTTCATAATTTTATCCGTTCAAATAAATTTCTTGTAACCCCATTGTAAATATCTGTTGGATTATAGATTTAAATTGCTTTCAGCATTTAGCCTAATATAATCATCAACAACTTACAAAATATACTTGATTAGCAGTATATATTTGATAATTCTAATAGTAATCCATAATCTGTGAACATTTGCTCTAAATATAAATCAGCAACTCAAGCTTAATTGGCAAATATTGGCCTAAGCGAGGCTTGCGCAAGATATATAAAACGATGAATCCTCATGGTCATATGAAGCACATTTATTATTGTGTTATAAATAATAAATATAAATGGTAAAAATCGTAAATAAATGAGATCTCTTTACCTATAAAATAATTTAACTGAAAAATGTAATGCTTATGATAAATAAATAAATAAATTAATTAAAAATTAATAAATAAATAAATAAATAAAAAAAAAAAAAAATACATAAATAAGTAAATAAATACTCTTGTATTAAACACCTAAAAAATTAAACAAAATTATTTGTGTTGAGGAATGTGAAGAAATCTGTTAAAGACATGTGGAAAATATTGATATCGGGGCTGAATATAGAAAATATTTATTTTTATATTTATTTAGCGATTTGAATAATCGAATTAATTATATAATAATTAGCTTATGCTTAAGAGGTATAACATAAAATTTTCATCTGTTTCAGCTACTGGCCTATTAAATAAATTCCATAAAAATTGTACTCCATGCAATTTTGCACAATATTTCCCAAGTATTGAAATATTTCACTGCAAATATTTAATGGTTAGTATACTGCTGAAATATATCCTTAAGTATAATCGTTCTATTAATCCAAACTATTCTACTATATTTATTGTTCTGTACTTATTAAGCTGATTAAATTTCTGTATTTTTCGTACAGACCTCTGTTAATAGATAACCTCTGTTAAAATATAACCTCTGTTAATAGAGTACCCAATAAACTGGTTCAAGTTGGGTTGCATAATGCAATCTCAATTGGCCGCAAACAGAGCGTACAAATGCTCATCAGGCTGTTCATTCCACAGCTCAGATTGTTTCGCTTTGCATCTGCAAGTGGCAATCGACTTGGACTCAATTTGCTGGGGGCAATGCCAGAGTCAGCTCGGTGCAATTCTTTGTCGTTTAATTAACTAAACAATTGCTTTTTTGCAAAAAGTAGTTGGCAGCGAGCGACGACAGCGGCAGAGTCTCATCTCGTTTCGTTGCAGCCATAAAAAGAACGCTTGAATGATTTAAGCCGTCGGCCACTTTGAGCCAACAGACTGAATCTGATCTTTATAGCCATTTGCTGTGCGAGTCGCTAGCGCCAAATGCAAAGGGCCCATGACAGACCAGGCGAGGCCAGGCCAGGCCCTTCGGTTATGCAACATTTATTTAAGCTCACAGACTTTGTGCTCATATGTAGCTTTACATACACACACACAAACATGTACACACACATATATGTATCTCTCATCCTTTCTGCTTTGCTGTATCTGTCCTCTTGTTGATTGCTTAAATATTCTCTTTTAGTTATCTCGCACTGTGTCATTTTTCTACACACATACACACACATGCACACATTCACGTCCTCACGCACACACTCCCATTCGCTGTTGTAATCCGTCGCATATCCCCATTAAATATTCACAATGTAAATATATAAATACGTAAATAAGATGCTTAACCAACACACGCTTCTACAAAAACATACACATATTCACACACACACACACTCACCCACACCTACTGCCTACTGCATTTGCTTATGTGTTTGTGTCTTAGTGCGCAAATTCCAATGCTTAAGTTATTTACTCGTCATAGGCTTTACAGAGATTGCCACGCCCCCATCTACCACGATGTGCCCCTTGCATGCGATATGCGCTGCTACTTAGCCTTACAGCATGTACTCGAGCTTTGTATTAATTTAATTGAACAGCATGCGAGGTCCTCTGTTCGGCGCTCTCTATTCTATTTCGCCCATGGTTCCACCTGCCGGAGCAGCTGAGTACCTGTGTGACAGGAATCGCAGAGAAAAGGTGTACTTATTTGTTAATAACATGAGATACTATATGTTGTAGGTGGAATAATTAAAGCGTGCATTATAAATGGGCTGTGAATGGATGTTTTGTAGAAGAGCTTTATACAATAGAATAAACATTACACAAAAATGCAAAAAATATATAATTATTGTTCATATTCGATGAGCCCATCTGAAAACCCTATATCTTCTTATAGAGGCAGGCATAATGCTCTGCACAGGCTTATGGATATCATCAAAATAAAATGATCATAATCTTTAATATAAAAAAATTATTTTCTATTCATTTGAAAATAAATAAACATGGATCCGTCGAATATGGGCAACTGTGTAGAGTTGCCGGACCCATCTGACAAAATGTGGACAGCTCTGTATATACATATGTATATTTGTTAAAGCGTTAAAGTGTTTTACCTATATCCCTATAAACGATCGACTGTTATGTTTAGTCGCATATTCTATACTCTTATACTCTTATACTGTTTTACTGTAAGACTATCTATAATCATTTCAGTTTGTCATTGAATTGGGCTACTAGAAATTTTTCTAATATCATAAAAGAGAGAACGGGATGTACATTAAGTTTGCCATACTACATACATGCTATATTATATACCATACTACATACCATATACTTTTTAAAAGTTGTTTGTTCCTTCATATCTAGGAATTCTGACCTGGGTGTGAATTCCAAAATAAAGTGTGAGAGATGCTACCTGAATAATTGAGTTTTCACGGGAAGAGCTCATGCATCGATGTAAGCAGATTCGCTCGAGCAAAGCTTTCGCATGAGCAGAAACAGTGGAAAGATAAGTTCGTGGATTGAATTTTAAATAAGTCAAGCCCAAGAAATCACTTGTGATGGAAGTATGTCATGCATTGAAAATATTGAATAGGCAGTGTCTTATATATAAAACATATATATAAATATCTAAGTGCATTCAACTATTCTATAATTAAATTTAGGTTCATTAGCTACAAAGAAACAGATTCAGATTGAGCTGCGCCCAAATATAACTGACAGGCAAATGAACGTGGCACTTGCTACTAAAAGTATACGCACACAGGCACATAAACACTCATACACTGTGACTGAGATGATTGCGTTGTTGTAACTTCTCATTTGTGTCATTATTTTGTTGTCCGTTTTCAGTTTGTTTTTGCTCAACTAGTTGGTCTGCTGCCATGTTAATTTTCTATTTTTCTTCACGTTTTCCTCCTTTTTTTTTTTGTTCAAGTAAAAGGCAAATTTTTCGGTGCATAAATTAAAATGCAAATCCTCTGCATGGCAAATCCCCCTGTAATTAACATACATTAGCACGAGCAAATGCAAAAGTTTTCTGCGCTATTTTGTTTTATTTTTCCTTTGTTTTTTTTGCTTCCGTCAGAGCCGAAAACTTGCAGCGAGTGTCTGAGTGTGTGTGTGTGTGTGTGTGTGTGTGTGTCTCGGTGTGTTTGTGTACGCTCATGCATACATTTATTTTCGTTAATTTCTGGACAATGACAGTTAGGTAATGTGGCGAAAGTGCACGGGGCGTATGCGCAATGTGCGCTAATATAAAAATACAGCGGCGCAGTGCAGAGCTCAGAGTGAAGCGAACGACCCAACGACCCAGAGACTGGCCAAAGGACTCCTCATGCATATGCACCGAATGACTTGCCTTGATGGTGTTGCTGTTGCTATTGTTGTTGTTGTTGTTATGTAAGTATATAAAATGAGCAAAGACTGGGGCAGGCAGTCAGGCGGGTCTTACGGGGCAACGTTTGCTTCACTTTTGCTAGTGCCGACACACACACACACATACACAGACACAACACTCATACAAGGCTCTGGCTTGCATAATGAGTAAATTATATAAGGACCCTTGCCAGCAGCCTGCTGCTCCTGCCAGAGCCTGCGGCTCACTTGAATTTCCTTGCTGCTTGCTGGCATTTTCTAGTCAATGTATTTTGCCTCTATTTCTTTTCTTTTTTTTGGTTTGTTTTGGCTTTTAATTTTTCGGCAGTTTCTTTTTTTTTTGTTTTTGTATTTGAAATTTTTCCACATGGAAAATTATTTGATTTATTTCCACTTGGACAAACTGGCACTGCAATAAATCTTCGTTCAATATGGCAGAGTCACACAGTGGACTGTAGCTGAAGCAGGAGACGAAGCAGGAGGCAAAGCAGCAGCACTAGCAGCAGGCCGTAGAACGCACAGGCTGCACATATGTGAACAAGGACATTGCATTCTCCCCGTGCGTGTGCATGTGTGTGTGTGTGTCCTGTGTGTCCTGCGTGTGTAGTTGAAAAACAAAAATTTTATTTAGTGTTTAGTGCGCCGTTTTGGACAGCTGCAACAGACACAGCAGCATCAACAGCAACAACAACAGCAACAACAACAACAACAACGAGCGCTCCAAC